AGTGGGAGAACTTGCACAATTGGTGGCTGACTAAATACTTTTTTGCCCCACTGTATAAATCGTTATATTTTGGCTTGCACTTTACACAATATTTTAATTTTAGACATATTTATTTGTTTATTTATTTAAAAGACTTATTCAGCCACCCATCCTATGCACCATAATCCTGGGTGGCTTACAAACAATAATAAAAACAGCTTAAAACATAAAAACTATTGCAAAAACTCTGGGCATCCCCAAAAACAACAATCAACTTTACTGGGCTCCAGCCTCATTGTACCACAATGCTTATTGGAAGAGCCAGATCTTCAAGGCTTTCCTGAAGGCTAGGAGAGTAAGGACCTGATGGTCTTCAAGGACACCTCCATGTACACTGTATTGCAGTAATCCGGCCAGGAAGTGACCAGGGTGTGAGTGACTGGGAGCAAGGCTTCCCAGTCCAGGAATGGGTGCAATTGACACACAAGGTAAATTTGTACAAAGGCCCCTCTAACCATGGCTGATACATGCTCCTTGAGCAGGAGCCACAAGTCCAGGAGGATCCCCAAATTGCACACCAGATCTGTCCAGGGGAGTGCAACCCTGGCAAGAGTCAGATATGATACCAAATCCAGGAGGACCAAAGACCCAGAGCCACTCCATCTTGGTAGGGTTGAGTTGGAGTCAGTTTCTCTCTGTCCAAACCTTTATAGCTTCCAGGCACTGAGCCAACATTGGGACAGCATTGCTTGGTTAGCCAGGGGTGGAGATGCACACTGATGATACCACACCCTGTGCCATTGGATGACATCTCCTAGCAATCTCATGTAGATGTTAGAAGACGGGTGAAAGATCTGAGGCACCCCATGTTATAAGGGCCTAGGGTTCAACCTCTCCCTCCCCCTCCAACACTGACTGGAACCTGCCACAGAGAAAAAGAGGAGAGCCCTCCATAGGTCATCCACAAGCACACCTAATGCTGTCTTAGTGCTGTAACCCAGTCTGAACTCTACTGAAAAGGGTCCAAATAATCTGCTTCATCCAAGGGCCTCCGAAGCTGAATGCTTACAGCCTCCTCAACAACCTTGTCTAAAAATGAGAGGTTGAAGACTGAACCAAAGCTGTCTAACCAAGGATGGCCCTTTAAGAAGGGAGCATACCACTGCCTTCTTCAAGGCAGGTAGCTCCACCCTGTCCTGCAATGAGGCATTAATCTCAGCTTGGATCCAATTGCATGCCTCCTCCCAGGGGGACTTAACCAACCAGGAGGAGCACAACAGTCCAGCGCACAGGTGGCAGAACTCACAGTCCTGAGGGCCCTGTCCACTTCCTCAGGAGTAACTGGCTCAAACTTTTCCCAGATAGCAGACATGCCCCAGTCATCTCCATAGGACCTGCCCAGCTGGTGTCCAATTCTCAGCAAAATTGAGCAATTTTATCTGACAGATGCCAAGCAAATTTCTCACTGAAGCCCTGCAAGAGCTCCCCTGGCCCCTCCTTATCCAGAAGAGGCCTGATCACCTGAAACAGGGTCACTGTCTGTCTGGCTGCAGATGCAATAAGAGTGGAGAACTTCACTGCTCTTATTACCACAAAGTAAGTTCTAATAAAGCCTCACCTGTGCTCAGTTGGCCTTGCTCTACTAGAATAAATTGGTATACAGGCTTTACAATGTTGGCATTCTACTTTCTCTTCAGTTCCTAATGAACCTAAGCAGAATTTGTCATTTTTATAGCAGACACTGAAAGAATTTGTGATATAGCTTGTCCTGTTCAGCAACCTTCTGCTCATACTGTATTTACATTATTTTGATATTTCATTGTGTTATTTAACATTTGTTTTAATTTTTGTTCTCAAATTGTATATCACCTAGAGCAGGGTTCCCAAAAGTAGTCAATATCAACTCCCAAGGGTTGATGGGACTATCTAAGAGGTTGATAAATGTCTGGGGGTCAAAAAGGAGTCAGTAAATCTCTGGGATCAATAGGAAGTTGATAAATGATGGAAGGTCGACTGGGGTCAATTAATCTTTTGAGGTCTCTGTAGAGCTCCACACCAATCCGTAGTCCTGAAGGTGAGGTGGCTAGCAGCGAGACAGTGTTACCCGGGGTTGGATGGTCAGCTGCCAGCAAGAGTAGCTTTGAGTTGTCTCTATCAGCTCTGTGTTGTTATTGGCCTCATCTACTATGTTGTGTGTCTTTGATCTACCACCTTTCCCCTTGTCTTTCTCATCTCACCTGTCCTGGGAAGGATATATGTATATGTAGTATTCCTGTTCACCTCACATACTGAGCATACTCCCCCACCTCACCAATCTCCAACCAAATATCAGTGCCCTTGTTGACACTCACCAGATTCATCCTTCCCATTAATTCTACCACCTTTCCCCTTGTCTTTCTCATCTCACCTGTCCTGGGAAGGATATATGTATATGTAGTATTCCTGTTCACCTCACATACTGAGCATACTCCCCCACCTCACCAATCTCCAACCAAATATCAGTGCCCTTGTTGACACTCACCAGATTCATCCTTCCCATTAATGATATCGACAGTTTCAGTTAAAAGGTATGTTAAATCTTATATTTTTCATATTTTAAATATTACCTATTTTTATGAAGTTATCTATTATCTTGTATCTTGTATCTTGTATCTTGTATCTTGTATCTTGTATCTTGTATCTAGTATTTATTATCTATTATTGTTGTTATTCATAGTACATTTAAAGTAGTATTAAATTATTTTCATATAATGAAAGTTTGGGGGTTGATGGACAATCTGAAACTTCATGAACGGGTCAATGAGCTCAAGAGTTTGGGGACCCCTGACCTAGAGGATTTTTTGTTGAGATTAATAAATGTACATTATAAAATAGATCAGAAATAAAAGCTGTCACTGTTTTCCCAATTTCTAGATGCTGTACATGTTTTACAGCATGGGGCACAACTGAATTGTCTCATGCTTCAACAGGCAACACATTTATGCAATGGATGGCCACCATCAGGTGGTACAGCAAAAGTAATTTCTACTGTAATTGCAGTTGCTGCTCAGCATACAATTCAAATGGGCGATATTATGGCAAACCTGAAGACCTTCCAGCCGGAATATGGGATTGCGGCAAATGATCCACTGTTACATCTGAGGTCTCGTGCCAAAGGACTGATGGTGAATGCTTGTGCCCATGCACTTTTCTTCTGCAAACTGCTCAGTGCCACCAGGTAAGGCACGGAATATATATCTATCTACAATTGTGCCTATCCACCCAATAAGATCTGCAGGATGTGCGTGCTTCTGGTCCTATCTATTAAATTAGTGTTTCATAAACTTTTTTCTCTCAGGAGCCCTTTCTGCTTTTAAAAAAATTTGGGGGGGGGGAAAGACCCCAAAAGAGCTTTTGTTTTTATGGATTATACTTATCGATATTTATTGTATTAAACATTAAAATTGACGCATCTGTTGCTGCTGCTACCGCTTCTCATAATTGTTTGATGGGATTTTAATATTGTATCATTTTCCAACATAGGCTGGCAAATAATTTTGATTTCATGGACCTCTGAGAGGATCTTGGGGGACTCCCCAGCGGTCTTAAGACTATACCTTAAGAAACACTGTATTAAATAATGTCATCTTACAGGATCCAGGAGGCATGCCTTCTCTGTCACTGCCTTCTGGAACTCTATTCCCCCCAATGTCCATTCAGCCCCAACCCTAAAGTCCTTCAAGAGAGGTTTATAGACTTGCCTTTTCCACAGACACTGGTTCAGGACATTCCATGAATCACTGGTTGTCAGAGATTGTCTGTTGTAGATGTTTTTCCCTAGCAAGTCTGTGGAGGCCTTCCCCCCAATTATGTTATTTGTTTATATTGTTTGCTTTTAATATTTCACTTAACACAGGCAAGTGAATGGTCAAAGAAATTAAAATTATAAATAAATATAAAGTTTTATTTTTCAGGGTAGAATAACATGACTGGACAATCTCAGGAAAATTAAGAATTACTAGCAGACATTTGAATAACTTATAGCAAATTAACAAAGAACTTGAATTTTCAACTGTGAATAATAGCAATATTTAGGAATTCTAAAATGTTATTTTGGGGGGTTTATAGGATATTCCAATTGTGAAAAACCCCTGAGGGGCATACTCCCCAACTTCCATAAATTGGGTTAAAAATAAAACAGTGAAAATAAAACAATAATATAATTTTACCTATGCATAGCACTGGGAACAATAACCCCAAGTCAAAAGACTTTCCACTACCAGAAGAAACAAGTTCACAACATTCTAGCCCCTAATGGAATAATCATGTTTTAATCGCATTCCTAAAAACAAGAGGGAAGGGGCCATTCAGTTATCAGAGGAATGCTACTCCATAGAGGGGGTAGCCACTGAGAAGGCTTGATTCTGTGGTCCCTGGAGATGGCATTATCCATGTGAAGGAGCTGTAAGTCCAGAAGGACCCCAAATTACTAACACAGTAGCAATCCGTCCTTTTCCTATTGGAAAATTGGATGGCTCTTCTGCTCTAAAGCACTGCTATTTGCTAAAAAGAACACGTCTGTCTAGGCTCATACATGACAGAGTAGCAGAGAGCCAAGCACAACTGTATGGTGTCACAATATCCATTTCTGATCTTCTCTTTTCAAGGCTAAACTTAAAAAGTTTCTTCAATCTCTCCTCACATAATTTCCCATTCTCTAATTGCTCATACTGACTGTCGCCGAGCATATTGTCATTAGCCTGCATCCTTCCTAATGAATTAGATACTAGTAATCAGGGTGACCTCAACCAAAGCAGAATAGGATGGAACTACTGTATCGTGTTTCAGCAAATGTACTTCTAGTGATGCAGCTTAAAGTGGCAATTTTCCTTTTTGTGGACATATCACACTGCTGATTCAAATTCAGCATATCATTCCAATATATTTTTCACACATTTGCCCATTCATGCTCTAAAAAATATGTAGCATTCATTTTACACTTTGATTTTTGTGTATGTATATGTAACAATAGCTGTTTCGGGTTTTCCCTCAGGCAGAAAGAAGAGGATTGTGAGGGTGCACCTGCTGGTTCCCAGGCTTTCAAGGATAATCAGAGATTGAAGATTGGTATTATTGGTGGAGGCCATCTTGGGAAACAGCTGGCCAGAACTTTGTTACATCTAGGTGCCGTTTCAGGAAAGAACCTTCAGATCTCCACAAGACGGCCAGAAACTCTATGTAAGAATCAGATGCTTGAATGACAGACATGAAGCTTTCTCACACATAAAATTCAAAATAAGTCCTTTCTGTATAATAGTAGAATTCAAGTTCTAATCAGATACTGTATATCCTTTGTATATCTTCCTCCACAAACTACTGATTCTTAGCCTTATTTATATTCCACTATAGCAACTTATTGATTCATTTTCTTGCTTTCAAACATTGACTTTGAACAGTTGCCAAGCGAAATTGTGAAAAGAATTCAAAAAAAGCTACCCATATTGGATAAAAATAAGAGTTGGTGTGCTTTGTTAAATTAAATGTTGTAGTTAAAGTAAGATTCCTTGCTGCTGAAGCATAGGAAACAAAATACAAAAAAAGTCTCAGAGTTGTTTTAAAATGGAATAATCAAAGGAAGCATTTGGTTGCATTCACTGGCGGCTTTGCCTTAGGGAAAAGTGCTTCAGATTATGCTAAGCAGGGACACCAGTGTTTGCTAAAGACCAACCCATTTAGCTTCCACTTTCCCATAAAAAAATCCAGTTTGTAAAAGGAGAAGTACTTTCTTTCATCATCATTACCTGTAGAAATTCTTGGTACTTGAAAGGAAAATTAAATTTATAAAATCAAAATAAAATATAATTTAATGATAACCTTTAGAGTAGGAGAAACTTAATTGTGCCCCTCTCTCCAAACCACAAATCCTGGCTTCTATTTTTTTCATCTTTTAAAAAGGAATTTACAGTATATGTCCCTCTATTAGTTTTATCTGGTGTATTTGTAGATTATATTGTAGTACTCCCAGTAATATAATCTTCATTGTTTTTATGCACATGTGTGTAATGAATGAATGCTCTCTTTAGAGAGATGGAGCTGTGATGGAATGGAATCATGAAGGCCAGACTCAGGGTCCAACCTCTCTCTAAACTGGTCCATAAGAGCCACTTCATTCCACTCAACATCCCCCGCTAGCAACTTG